AAGGGGAAGAGAGAGTGTGAGCGTGGGGTTTTGTTTTCTTCATCTGTGTTTAATACTCCCTCTTCTACTAAGAGGAGAAACTGTGAATTGATCATTTTTCCCTTTGAATCACCTTGGAAACTTGAATTTCTTTACTCTTCCAGGAAATAGTAAACAAAAAAAAATTCATTGAGCTGACACTCTTTTTGCTTCTGTTTGCCTTCTTGCATGGCTAGTGCTTTTAAAGAAAAGTGTCTCTTGACCAATTAAAAGCTATTTCAGGAGCCAAGGAAAACCTTTCCTGGGCCCTGCTGTTCTTTCTTCCCTCCCAACCCTGTGTGTGTCACTCTGCCCCCGGCTCCCACCTGTGGACATCATCTTACTCTCCTCGTCTGCCCTTAGGGATGCTGCCCCACCTCCTCTCCCTGGGCCCCACTGAAGCTCTTGCCTGGGTCAGATGGGCAGGAAGAGAGGGGTGCTCCTAGAGTGTGTTAGAACTGAGATGATCACTTCGGGGGCATTTTCCCGTGGGAACATCTCATCTTTGGGGGTAGGGGATGAGGGGAATAAAATGTCTATACTAAAAAAAATAAAAATAAATAAAATAAAAGATATTTTAGATCCCTTCAAAATATGTCTAACTAGCATCAAGTGAAAGAATCTTAGAAAAGTTGATAAAGTGGGCATGAAAGTTTGGGTGTGTTCAGCGTAGCCGACTTCTGATGACAGGCATGGCACAGCACTTCAACAATTGGTCAGTTACTAAAAAGCTGTTGTTAGACCAAGGATGGAGGGAGGAAGAGGATGTAAGAGGGAAGATGAGAGGAACAGAATGAAAGAGTTTTTAGGCAGGGACCACTTTATGAGTATGTGACCAACATGGCCGTAGAGGGCCTGGTGCTCAGAAGGGAACCAACCCTGTACATACGGCATAATGCTCTGTGGTCGCCATCTGGAAATTCTCACTTCGTCTTTTAATTAGTTTTCCAAAGGAAATAGGATAGGACAGTGGAGCCTCCCAGCCTCCCTGGGACAGAGCCTGAGCCCCTGCTCCTGGGCCCCACCCTGGCAGGGGCCGAGGCACAGACTCCGGGAGGGTCAGGGTCAAGTGTGTGCCGAGTCGCAAGGCTGGCCCTGGCACTTGCAAGTGTCCGCATTCATGGTGAGACTCCCAAGCACAAGGAAGCGTGACATTCAATAGCAAATAAAAATCACCATGACATGTCAAGAGAGACACCGTGAAAGAAAGGAATAAGCTTTTTCCTGCATTATTGTACCAGCAGTCTGTGCTCACCATAGGCATTTCTTTAACATTCAAATTAACTCTGCCAGTTTTCCAGTGGTCAACCTCTATTGCAAATGGGGAAACAAAATGAACAGACCTAATGAGCAAGTTATTGTCTAGGTGGCCCATGCATCATGCTAGCTCTGATATCATTCAATTATACCTGTATTTAATTTCCGTCCATCTTTAGTTCACTAATTGTGGAAGACAATTTAGCTCTTATAGGAGGCAAAAATCTCTGCAGGGCCTTGAGACCAGTGGGAATTTGTTGGAGGGTTTATATAGAATGTATTTTCTTTCTCTTTTTTTCCTTTTCCTTTGCTTTTTCCCTATTTTTTTTTTCCAGTGTTTTACTTTTCCTTTTTATCTTCACACGCGCAGACAGGGAAGTGTGCTGGATTGTATGTAATGGGCTTTCTTTGACTCTGCCTTCCAGAGTGGAAATAGAATTCTGTGTTCCGTCATTCTGAGCCATCACCAGGGGCCGTCCATAATCAACCATGACGATGAGAGTGGGAAGACGTGTGTGCACATCGCCGCAGCAGCGGGTTTCAGCGACATCATTAACGAACTGGCAAGAGTTCCCGAGTGTAACCTACAGGCTCTGGATGTGGATGACAGGTATCCGGGGCAGCTCAGAAAGTGCTGGGAACTACCAGTCATTTTCCTCGACTGTGAATCTTAAAATAAAAAAATGTTTAAGGCGATATCCTACACGATTATATCCTTATTGCCAGTAACACAACTGTATCCTTATTGCCAGTAATACACATGTGGTTGTGACAATAAAAATTGCTCTATTTTAGTGAGGGGAGGAAAAATCATTGTTATGGAGAGGAACACTGTGACTGTACAGCAGTGTCAGATTTTCCACTTTTTGCTAACTGCTCTCAGTGTTTTCAGAAGGCTTTCTGTATCTCAGCTTCCTGCTATATGCCCTTTTTGTTCTTAAAGGTAGGTTTTATTTTTTTCTTCGTTCCTGGATTTTGTCATTTGGTTTACAAGTTCATGTCATCCAGAGAAGAGCATAACAGAGGCTATATATTCAGAACTTTGGGGCTCTTAAAAGTAATAGGGACTTTATAAGGAATTTTTTTTTAATCATTGAAGATGTATTGGCTGGAAAAGGAAGCTGGGCCAATA